ATACTAATACATATTGAAGTATACAAGTTCAATGTAAAAACTTGCAAGAAGCATTACAGTGTATTGCATTTCAAAGCTCTTTCAATCAAATTGGGAAGTTTCAAAAAAGCATACCTTACTTTTTGTTCGTCTATTTTGTTCACCTTTGACTGTACTCCCTTTTTTCTCCTTCCATTGTACTAGGAGCTTAACAAGAGAAAAAAATAATTCAAAGCAAGGTAAAATGTGTGTCAATTAAGCCACCAAGTGGTTAACTTTGTGACCTTGAAGCTTTCATTTTACCACACATGGTAAGATAATCAACCTCTGCTGGTTGACTATATTTAAACAAGGATGTGTTACATTTTAAACAGTAGAGTAAATACAGCAATATCACGTAATGATGACRGAGATGACGACGGGAAGCCTTTACACATGTCCAGCCTTAAGCAACAGTTATACAACRYGGCTAGTTAATTTGGTGCAAGTGTAGAAAAGATGAATGACATAACATCTTGATGGAGATTATCTGGTAGCACAWACATTGAAGGAAAGACAGACTACACCAAGTTTAAAAGAGCAAAGGAAAATTTAGCAATGGCTATGGAAAGGACGATCTCAGGAGCAAGGTTTCTGACGTCACCAAGATCATTATCTTTGAGGTTGGACAAAACTGACGATGACTTGAATGCGTTGAGTCTCAATCAACATCGTGTATACATATTATATTTTTTTGTGACCTAGTATTTTATTAATTTTTTGTCTCACGACAATTCTATTTTTTGTCTCTCTACAGCTCTTGTAGATAAGCCGTACCCTGGCTGATCTTGTTCACAAGTTATTTTGAAAATTGAAACTGCAAAATCTAAATTAAGTAATGAACAATACACATATTTCAACATACCTTTACATGATCCATTCATAGATGGACACACAAAAAGTAGATGAGACTGGTCAGTCAACGAGTTCAATTACACAAAAAGCTGTTGCCACAAACTAACTCTTTAACTCTTATTTTGCAACAAACAGAAGTCCTAAACACGTATCATTCAAAGTACATAGGTGGAAAACTTACTCATATGTCATTTTGTGGCTTTGGAGTGGGACTTCTAATAAACTATAGAAAGATTCAAAGAAATTACATTATACACTTTTTGAAAGTTAAGTTCTTGGTAAGCCATCACTGGGTCAAAAGGTTTCAGTGGTATAATGGATAACCTTTGATTTAGGATTCTAAGATTTGGACGGCAAACTCATGCCGCAAGATTTTAATAACTGTCTGTTAAGGAAAAATAAGAACACATAAATGTTTTGCAATTTCTATACTTTGGGAGACCAAGGGGTAGGTTAAAACAATCAAAATAACGTTTCCAATCTGACTAAAGTTTGCTTCTTGATTTTTACACAAACATTCTGCCATCTAAAATGAGAACAGACATATATGAGCAATGTATGGTCACTTTTGATTCAAATTGAGTTTTCAGAATACCTTCAACATAAAGATTCCACAGCTGAGACTATCACTCTGTTTTGTCATTGAATGGTTTGACAATGACCATTTGTCAATCGCAAACCCACATGATCTGAGAAAGGTGCTAAAAGATGCAGTGAAATCCTTTCGAGTGCACTGAAGGCATTCGAAATCCCAAGTAGGGATGCATAACTTTCCTTTGTCCTGCAGCACGATCCAATTATCACCTTGCATGTATATTTTGGTTCGATAGACCAAGAAGATGCTTGGTACTTGTCATTGGAGTGTTTGAAACTGAAATCTGTATTTGTGAAAATTAAATAAAAAGTTTCTGAAAAGCCCTTAAAACGATCGTTAAACGGCAATACTAGAACTTTTTTCCCACTGTCAAACACACACTAATGACAAAATAAATCCATGGTTATTACCCCCGAAAAACTGAGACTTTACAACATCATTCACTGATATATAAACAAATTCCAATAAAATATAAACGAAGTGGATATATGAGCGGTAGCTGTTCAAAGTCTTCAATTGAGTAAATGAGCAGTAGTTTTCAAATGTATAGAAAAAATCCACAAAATAGTAAAAACAGATTTCAAATCATATTACAACGTTCTATTTCGAGCACCTTTGGTATGACAATTGGATCTCGCTGAAAGTCTTCAATGTACTCAATGAGCGGTCTTTTCAAATGTACAGAAACAAAAACAACACTATTTATTGTAGTACTTAATTATGATTAATAGTGATACGTTTTTGCTTTTATGAATCGATTCAAACAGTAAAGTCACAGTCACTAAACAATATAAGTTTGTCACTTGTTAAGCATAGGCGACACACCCGATTGCTTGTCCTTAGCAGGCGAAACACCCAAGATAAGTGACACACAAGGACAAGAAATATATTTAAAAAACCTTCTGAGTTTTCACCCATCATCTAAAATTTACCTAGCACATTCAATGAATTCTGTACCATTTATGTCCAAGCTGTCAAAATGCTGGAGTTCTTTTATACCACACTTGATTACCTACAGGGAAAGTGCCAATATTATATTATGTCTACTAAATGTAATAATTTGTCATGTGCTTTACCCCTAACGTCCAGTGTGATTTTATGTTTGCTGATATCAGAACCATTTCATTTGCATTGATATAAACAAAAACACAATGGATGAATGCTGACACAAAATATAACGATTAGGATAATGTTTTAATTAAATTTGTGTTTTTTTTTATTTTATAAATCCTAGTTGCCATGGAATATAATATTTCTTACTCTCATTCTTCGTCATCTTCACTGTCAGAAGCATCTTCCAAATCCCCAGTGTTCACATTCATGTACAAATCCCTTTTTTCTGGTGGCAGATGCTTCTCAGCCATTTTCTTCAGGTCAGCCTCTTTAGCTGTCTTGATCTTCACTTGGCATTTGTAGAGTCGTCTTGGGGTTTCAGGGTCTTTTCCATTCCAAACTTTCACTTTTTTCCATGGTTCTTCTTTTGAATAGCCATAGCTAGAAAAGGAAATTTGAACAGTCGATCAAGAAGTTACCGAAATCCTTAACTTCATGTGGATGATGGACCATGGTGACATTCCCATCTTTGTCGACGTCTGCACCCCACCCGAAATTCATCCAGTGGACCTAAACAAATTTCAACAACCTGATTAACCACTGATAAATCTTACTATTGTCTTATTGAGTTTAAACAGAACTGTGTCAAATTCTCGGATTTTAAAAAAGGCCGTAACTAATATACACAGCTCTATAATTCGTTCCCGGTTCGATTTGTGTCAAAATCTGAAGAAATC